TTAGGTTGCCGATTTCAACCACTGAACAGCAGGTCCTCGTGACTATGGGGTTTACCCCGTTTGCTGTTCATCACACCTAGGTGTGTAATAAAAAATTAACAAAATGACAAAAGGTGTTTGTTCATTATCTCAGCACACGCACCGACCAACTGCAGTTCTGGAGCACAAAAAGACCGTTTCTATGATAAACTTACCGAATCCATTCGATTGAGACGGAACCTCGATAAATTTTCACTAGCAAGTGACTCTATAGCGTAGGAAGGAAAATTGAGCGTATCGGAAGCTTACCCGGGAGGCGATTGTGCTCTAGCCAGCCAACAAACGGCGATCGATTTCTTTAGTTTTGCGCAGATCATCGTCTGTTTCTATTCAGTATCAACTTTTGCTACGATTCTCAAATAAGTTTGAACTCAAGCGCCTCCGTCATAATTCGACGTCTGACCCAATTTAGGAAGACAAATTTCCGCAAAAAAACAAGCAGGATTTCAACCAGATCGGGGTTGTATCAACCAAATTTTCACGCTGCACCAAGTCCTCGAAATACGCCATACGCACCGTCGACCAACAGTTGTCGTGTTCCTTAACCTAAAAAGAGCTCTCGACCGAGTTGAATCGCTTATGGGTTCGCCCCTTCGCAATAGAATGCCGCAAAAGTATGTGCACATACTGAGGTCACTGTACTCGTATACCTCAGGTAGCGTAAGGGTCTTCGGCGAGGTGAGCAGGTCGTTCGAAAATGGTAGCGGTGTTCGAAAAGGGTGCTCTGTTTCGCTATTCCTGTTCAATTTCAAATGCTGGAGAACGCACTAAGTAGTCACCAAAATGTTGGTATTGAATGGATAACTGGAGAAACGTATATCTAAAAGTAGCCTACTGCATCGCACCTTAGTTACAGTGGCCGCTTCAGATTGGAGAAAGTCAAATAGAGGTCAACAGATGACGTGGAGACGAAGTATAGATAAATGTACTGAGCCATTGAGCCGTCTTCCGGGTTGGAGTCCAAAAGACTCCGTAATCGCATGGTTGGAGATACTGAAGGTCATGGCTGCGAACGGACAGCAGTAGCGATCCTGTTGTCACTTCTTGTCAGACCAGAATGCTTGAACTCGTGAGTACGCACAGTTGGATTATGTACTATGTATGTTGCCCATAGAGGTTCGCTTTCCTTTCCCGTTCCCCAAAACAGACCCCATCCCCATCCTTCTTACACAATCTCATTAGACGTGCATGCATTATGAGTTTGGCAGCAACCAGTGAAGTTCGCCTCACTGTATTAGGTTGTACGATGAGTAAATGGTTCAATGTTTCCGTACTGTACACCGATTAATCGAATGTTGTATGGTATAAGATTAATCGGTAGAAAAGAGTTAGCCCAATGATACATCTTTTTTGTACAAATTGTGAAGCTTTTTCGATTTGTGCCGAACAAACTTTCCGACTAAGGAAATCTGTCAGAATTTAGCAACCGACGAAGGCCAGGTCACAACTAGTTTCTCAGTTAACCGATAGACATAAACGGAAGAAGCGGCAGACCGGTGATATACCTCACTCGGGTGGGAGGAGGCGCGAGTAAGATCAGGGTATCCGTTTTTTCTCCGATCACAGAAAAACTTATTGTACTCCATCAGACAATAATAATACACCTTGAGCAAACTGTTTCACAGACAATAAAGAGTGTTCTAGTACTTCCAGGTTTTTGAGGTTGAAGACCAATTCCAATCAGCAAATCTAAAAACCAACAAATAAACCGATACAATACCAGACTTAATTTTTTGCCAAAGATGATAAAAGACTGCAACCCGAAAATTGGAACACTCAACTTTTAAATCAAAATTGTCCCGTCAGGATATCTCAAAAGGACAATTCTAGAATAGAAAACATTACAATTAGGAGCAATACACTATTTGATCTGGGGCATAATCACCTATAAGATAGTTGCCTACTGAGAAAATAGAAATAGAGAGAGCTTGTTTTGAACGCAAACAGAAAAATAGCCGATGCACAAAAGCGGCCCCCGTTCTCACAAACAGCGGATAAGGGGAGCCCGGAACTCACAATCTGAACATTATCCTTGGTGATCGCGGCCATCTGTTTGGATCGAGTTGTATGCGCCTTCCCGGACACAGCACACACACGCCATTTGGTGAGCATATTCACCAAGCTGGATTTACCCGCATTCGGACATCCGATCACCGCGACTTTGAGTGTGCGAGCGTCCGGTGGTGGGTGCGGGTGTAGCATGAGGAGTTTTTGCAGATATTCCGCTGATTTAAAGCGAAACAGCCGAGCAAGATTTCGTCCGGACAGAACAGATCACCGGGTATGTACGAAACCAGTGAGATGCGAGAAGCGGCGGAAGGGAAAAGATTAAAGTAGATGAGAATTTCCGATGAAATAATTTACTTTCGGTAGTGCGATGAAATCGGTCTCTGACCGGAAGTCACAACACTTTAGATCCACTTCTTTCACTGGTCAGGCATGGGGTGAATGAAACGAGATTAGGTGACTGGGTTATAGTCCAAACGAGTCTGCGTTCAGAATGGATGCCGGTCAGATCACAGTATAAAAACCTTTTAAAGAAAGAAATCGGTTTACAATTCGGTGTAATGGGCGGAATACGACCAAGTTGCCCAGAACAAACTTAGTGGACTAACTCTGGGGATTCATTGAGGGAGCATTTGCCTAACGCACAAGACAGCGGAGCCGTGTGTGTGACATACCCCGGTCTATATGGGGCCGGTAACCAGATTGTCGGATCATACGTCCTTTTGATGGGACCCGACGCTCAAGGTGCTCGATACAACTCGATGTACAATCAAATCGACGACCACATTCCCAACTAGGAATGTGCGGATGCGGTTGACGAACCTTTTCTTGATTGGCTTAGCATTAGAGTTTTTACCAATGTGAACTGTCGGTGGGTCACCGACCCGGTTATGGTCACCGGTGTTGGCTGTTTGTCCCCTCACATCCAAATACGAAGACCTGAGAAGGGCTTTCTTAGCATAGGCTAGCTACAGTGCATGTGTCTAAGAGCATGTCATGGTGAAAAGAAAGAGTGAATAGTAACAGCCCACGACACCTAACCACGATCATGCACAGTCCTTCAAATAATCGATAATTTAAATTAGTATTTTTTGGAGAATGAATTTTCCGAGACTAGGCGTAAATGCAATGAATGCATGGAGAGTAATGAAAATAAAACGCTTCCAGAGCATTCCGATAAAGAAAACCTATGCGGAGCGATTTCAGTCGAATGAAACAAAGCCTCCGGGTTGAGGCAACTAGCTGAAATGAATTGAACCAGATGCTGGATCGACAATATCAAGTGATACGCCTACGTTGCATACACTTTTCTTTCGAATGATATACTCAATTGCGAATGGCGGAATGAATTGATGTGGGCACTATACCAGCACAGTTCGCACACAGGAGCAAAAGCAAGTAGACAAGTATTTTCATGTATTTTACAGCTTGTTATCGATGAGCACAAGAGCTCGTTTTCAGTGTGTCTTAATTATGCCATTACAACACAATATATGACTATAGTAACAGATCCGTATCTGTAAAGATTGGTGTTAATATATATATATATATATATATATATATATATATATATATAACAGATCAAGATTTACGAGGGAAAATAGAAGGTAATCAAAGTATTCAACAGTTTGTATCATAACTGGCCCCCCAAATATTATTTGCTCGGATGTTTCCTGACGGGTCACTTGTCGGCAGTCTGTTCATGGGGCTTGTGTGCTTGTACAAATTGTTTTTAGGCACACAGAGAAGGGTTGCGAAAACAGATACTAACTGCCTCCGCTATAGCTAGAATACGAAAACGCACGTGTCTAGACCGTCCTGTTTTAATTCTCTATAATGGTCGATCACGTTTATGATATGATTAGTGTTGACCGGGTGCGATCGCATTTGGGATTGACTTAATGATTACACTTCTCAACGACATAGAGTGATGCTCGAGAATGCGCTCCGACAGGCACCTGGTCGTGCGGCCACCGGATTAAATGAAATAATAAATACAGAAAGAGGTAGCAGAATCGGGCGTTCCATGCTTCAATCGCAGACAAATCAACGGGCTGGATTTGAATCTAGTTTGGACCTTAGCTGTGTGGAAGGTTTTGTTGATGATACTAGATAGCTTTCTGTGCAAAATCTCTGCAAATNTGCAAATTTGTCACCTTTAAATGGTAAAGAAATGTACACATACTTCTTCCCAGCAATGACACTCTTGGGAAAAGCCTCTTGTCGTTACAGCATAGATTCCACCAAGCGCTTCGAATGTCCATTCAGGATGAAGATATTCTGCATATTTCGGAATTCATCAACCAGCAGGTCCCCTCCGTGCAGATTCTTGTAGCTCTATTGGCCAAACAGAATGTGAGGTTTTTCAGACTGAGTGAAATGAACATAGTGCCCATTCAACGTAGTCTTCTTGTGTACTGACCGCCTGATAAATCCGTCATCACAACGAGTTAGGCAAACATAAACACGCTACTTGATTGCTTGTCACCTGTCATGAAACATACGAGCAAATGATAAACGGGAACTGTTGAATACTTTCCTTTTCAGTCGTAAATCCTTATCTGTTATTAGTTCCATATATTGTGTTGTAATTTTTTTTATTACACAAAGTGAATTACAGTAAACGGGGAAATCCCCATGTGCAAAATAG